AGATCATGACCTGAGCCGAAGGCAGCGGCTTAACCCACTGAGCCACCCAGGCGCCCCCCATGTACAAATTTCAAATCAGTATGTCCAATGACTAAAACTAAGATAATGTTGAATACCTCAATAAAATAAAAATAAACATTTATTTTTAAAAAGTGATATTCGAGAAGAGAACTAAAGGATGAATATAATTGGGGCACCTCGGTGGCTCAGTGGGTTAAAGCCTCTGCCTTCAGCTCAAGTCATGATCTCAGGGCCTCTCTGCTCAGTGGGGAGCCTGCTTCCCTTCCTCTCTCTCTGCCTGCCTCTCTGCCTACTTCTGATCTCTGTCTGTCAAATGAATAAATAAAATCTTTTAAAAAGGATGAATATAATTTTGGTAGGTAAAACTTGTTGAGTGAGCAAGGCATAGAAGGAGCAGAAGACAAATCATCCCTAGAGGTCAACAGAAAAAGGAGACAATTTGGAGGAGGAGCATGATGGGAGAGGAGTAGGAGACTGAGGTCCCAGGAGTTCAGCTAGTTATCAAACCATTCTGAACACCTACAAACTCAATAGGAGATCAAAGAGAAGAAGAGCAGCAATTCTAGGAACAGAAAAGCGACCACTTTCTTGAAGGTAGGACATGAAGAGAAGTGAATCCAAGGTGACATATGGGAAGATAGACTGCGTTGGGGTGGGGGCTCCCAACAAGCAGTAGAGCAGTGGAGCACAAAATTGGAACATTTAGAAGTCTGCTCCACTGAGGGACATCACTCCAGAGGCTAAGTGGGGGGTGGAGCCCTCGTGGGGACGTGTGGCCTCAGGACCCATGGGTACACAAAAAGATCAGGGGTGTCTGAGTGTGGCAGAGCTCCCAGGTATTGGAGTGGCAAAGCCGGCTACAGAGACAGAGCTAAGGAGTGGGCACTCAGGTCAGGGTTACCTTAAATCACGATACAAGGCACAGGCCACTGCTCTTCGAGCAGGGACCCCACACAGGAACGTGTGGCAGGAATCAGCTGGGTTTGGAGACTCCAAACGGGACCATGCACCAGAGACCGAAACACTCAATCATAGGCTGGGTGAGCTCAGAGTGCGGCCACAGACCAGGGAGACAGGAGGATTTGACTGCTTTCCTCTGAGGACATATTGAAGAGTGGGGCCTGGAGCTCTCAGCTCCTATGGGCCAGAGATTGGGAGGCCACCATCTTCACTCCCCTCCTTCAGGGAATGAAGTCTTCAGGGAACAAAAGCTCCCGAGAGCAAACCTGAGCAGATTGCTTAGCCTGGCCCCTGGCAAGAGCAGTGCAATGCCGCCTCAGGCAAAGACATTTGAAAATCAGTGCAACAGGCCCCTCCCCAAGAGGATCAACAAGAACATTCAGCCAAGACCAAGTCCACCAATCAATGAGAAATGTGAAACTTCAGAGTTACAGGAATACAGCACATAGAATTCATGGGGGTTTTTCCCCCATGATTCTTTAGTCTCTCAACGTTAAATTTTTTTAATTTTATTTTTTTCTTAGTCTATTTTTTTATTTTTTCCTCTTTCCAAAATTTAACTATTTTATCTTATCAAGACCTTCTTAAAAATCTTTTTTAATTTTGACTGTTATAGATATTCTATCCCTTCTTTGTATTTTGCCTTATTTTTTGCATACATATAGGTTTTTCTTTCTTTAAAATTTTGAGATAGAGTTTCTTCTAACAGATCAAAATGTACCTTAAATCTAGCTTTGTTCTAGTCTCCAGCCTGATCACGTTCTTTCCAATTTTTTTCTTTCTTTCAACCAATTTCTTATCTTACCAAGTTCTTTTATAGAATCTTTTTTAATGTTCATCTTTACAGTCATACTCCACTGCTTCATCATGTTTACCCTTATTTTTGTATATATATGTTTTTCTTTTTTTAAAATTTTGGGAGCTGTTTCTTCTAACAGACCAAAATACACGAAAATCAAGTGTGTGGCTCTGTTCTATTCACCAGGCTAATATATATATACATTTTCTTCTCCCTTTCTTCCCCCTATTGCGGTTTCAGGTCTCTTCCAATTTGGTTAATGTATATTTTTCTGGGGTCATTTCGACACTTTTAGGATTTTGTTCTCTCATTCATCTATTCTTATCTGGATAAAATGACAAGGTGGAAAAACTCGCCTCAAAAAAAAAAAAAAAGAACAAGAGGCATTACCGATGGCTAGGGACCTGATCAATATGGAAATTAGTAAGATGTCAGATCTAGAGTTCAGAATGATGATTATCAAGGTGCTAGCTGGGCTCAAAAAAAGCATGAAAGATACTAGAGAATCTCTTTCAGGAGAAGTAAAGTACCTTTCTGGAGAAATAAAGGAACTAAAATCTAACCAAGTTGAAATTTTAAAAAAGCTATTAATGAGGTGCAATCAAATATGGAGGCTATTACTGCTAGGATAAAAGAGGCAGAAGAGAGAATTAGTGATATAGAAGACCAAAAGATGTAGAATAAAGAAGCTGAGAAAATGAGAGATAAACAACTACAAGACCACAAGGGGTGAATTTGAGAGATAAGTGATACCAAAAGGCAAAACAATATTAGAATAATTGGGATCCCAGAAGAAGAAGAAAGGGGGGGGGGTGCAGAAGGTATATTGGAGCAAATTAGAGAATTTCCCTAGTTTGGCAAAGGGAACAAGCATCCAAATCCAGGAGGCACAAAGAACTGCACTCAAAAGCAATAAAAATAGGTCAACACCCTGTCATCTAATAGTAAAACTTACAAGTCTTAATGACAAAGAGAAAATCTTGAAAGCAGTTCAGGACAAGAGGTCTGTAACATACAATGATAGAAATATTAGATTGGGAGCAGACCTATCCACAGAGACCTAGTAGGCCAGATAGGACTGGCCTGATATATTAAGAGCACTCAACGAGAAAAATATGCAGCCAAGAATACTATATCCAGCTAGGTTGTCACTGAAAGTAGAAGGAGAGATTAAAAAGCTTCTAGGACAAACAAAAACTAACAGAATTTACAAACACCAAACCAACCCTGTAGGAAATTTTGAAAGGGGTCCTCCAAGCAAAGAGAGATCATAAAAGTAACAGACCAGAAAGGAACAGAGACAATATACAGTAACAGTCACCTTACAGACAATGCACTGGCAATAAATTCATATCTTTCAATAGTTACCCTGAATGTAAATTGGCTAAATACCCCAATCAAAAGGCATAGAGTATCAGACTGGATTAAAAAAAAAAGACCTATTGATATGCTGTCTGTAAGAGACTCATTTTAGACCCAAAGACATCTCCAGATGTAAAGTGAGGGGGTGGAAAACCATTTAACATGCTAATGGACATCAAAAAAAGTGGGGTGGCAATACTTATACCAGACAAATTAGATTTTAAACCAAAAGCTATAGTAAGAGATGAGGAAGGACACTATATCATACTTAAAGGGTCTGTCCAACAAGAAGGTCTAACAATTTTATTTTTTTTTATTTTTTTTAAAGATTTTATTTATTTGACAGAGAGATCACAAGTAGAGAGAGAGAGAGAAGGAAGCAGGCTCCCCGCCTAGCAGAGAGCCCGATGTGGGACTCGATCCCAGAACCCTGAGATCAGGACCTGAGCTGAAGGCAGAGGCTTAACCCACTGAGCCACCCAGGCAGCCCCAAGGTCTAAAAATTTTAAATACCTATGCTCCTAACATGGGAGTAGCCAATTATATAAATCAATTAATATCAAAATCAAAGAAACCTATTGACAATAATACAACAATAGTAGGAGACTTTAACAAACCCCCTCACTAAAAAGGACAGATCATCCAAGCAATAGATCAACAAGGAAATAAAAGCTTTAAGTGACACACTGGACCAGATGGACATCACAGATATATTCAGAACATTCCATTCCAAAATAATAGAATACACATTCTTCTCTAGTGCACATGGAACATTCTCCAGAATAGATCATATCCTGGGTCACAAATCAGGTCTCAATAAGTACCAAAAAATTGCAGTAATTCCCTGCATATTTTCAGACCACAACACTCTGAAAACAATTCATTCCTCTGCTTCTTCCATCCTGCTGTTCATTCCATCAAACGTGTTTCTCATCTTGTTTACACAGTCCTTTATCTCTGCTATGTTACTCCTTATTTCTGTGTTAAGGGACTCACTAATGTCTTCCACTCTTTTCTTAAGGTCAGTGAGTATCCTCAACAATCATTGCTTTAAATTCTCTATCAGAGATGATACTTACATCTCTTTTGCTTAGATCTCTGGCCATGGCCTGCTCTGGTTCTTTCATATGGGATAAAGTTCTCTGTCTCTTCATTTTTTCTGCTTCTCTGTATCTGTTCCTGCATGTAACTGAAGTCAGCTATGTCTTCATATGTCAGCTATGTCTCCAGGCACTTGAGCTTGACATCCCCTCAATATTGGACTCTGTGCTGAGATTGGAGCCTGCTTGGGAATCTCTCCCTCCTCTTCACCACTCCCCCTTCTTTCCTACTTTATCTCACTCCCTTTCTAAAAAAAAAAAAAAGGTTTCACATTAAAAATCTGAAGTAAACTACACCTTTACTTCTGATGCTTGATGAATTGACATCGCCTCAGCCCATGCGGTAATCAGGAAGCCTCTAAATTTCTCGTGATGGCCGCCAGAAAAAAAGTTCAAATATTCCAAGAAAAAAAGGTCAAATATTCCAATTCCAAGTAAAGGTATAGTTTACTCAGTGCAGAGCCGAAAATTGTGCTGGATTTCATAACCCTGAGATCGTGACCCCACCTCTGGAGGTAAACTACATCATCACATGGAATGTCTGATTCCCACACGGACTGAGGAGATGTCAAGCTCGATGGCCTGCCATCAAATCTGAGGAGACTTGGCTCAGTGACTGGCTTCCCGGGATTTCATTTTGTCCAATCAGATAGGGTTTGCGTGTGACGTCAGGAAACGAGGTGACTATAAGTGAGCCAGCGCCTGGCAAACCACTGCCAGTGTCCTTCCTTCTGAGCCGTCGGGAAGGGGAGCCCCACATGGCTGAACCTGGCTGTGAGACCTCTTCTGAGGAGAGCCTGGGCACCGAGGAGCCCACCGCAGTGGACCTGAAGAGTCCAAAGCAGGAGCAGCCAAGGCGCCGCGGGCGCCGCCGCCCGGACAGTTTTGCCACCTACTTCCCCCGGGTTCTGAAGCAAGTTCACGAGGGCCTGAGCCTCTCACAGCAGGCCGTGAGCGTCATGGATTCCTTATTCAAGGACATGTTCGAGCGCATCGTCGACGAGGCATCTCGCCTTTCCCGCTCCACCAAGTGCTCCACCATCACCTCCAGGGAGATCCAGAAAGCCGTGCGCCTGCTGCTGGCCGGGGAGATTGGCAAGTACACCGTGTCCGAGGCCACCAAGGCTGTCATCAGGTTCAACAGACGCGAATGAGCTGCCCCTGGACCGCCTGAACACCTCGCAAACCAAAGGCTCTTTTCAGAGCCACCTCACTTGGCCCAGAAAGACCTGTAACTCTCCAGAATGCCACCTACGCTGGCGTTTCGGCCTGGGCCATTCTGCCCATTCTTAAAGCCCTTTTAGCCGTGAGCAAGTCCACTTTAATATATGTGTGTGGTGCGGTCTCTTATGATTTTCCTTGACCCTATCGCATTTCGTCAGTTTCCTAAATGGCCTGTTCCTTCAGGTCAGCCCCTTCAGGACTCTTTACTGTCACAGCTGGGTCCACAGTAATTTTACTTGCCTTTTGTCTTCTTCTCCCACTTGCCTAGAGTAGTGTCGTCTCGAGATTTTTTGAGTGTGTTGATATAGCAACAAGTGAAGGGCTGTAGCGGATACAGAACTCATACTTACCCCATTCACACTCGCTCAACATAGCCCCTCAACCTAATTCAGTTAATTACATAAAAGAGGACCCAAACACTGTGCAGAAAACTCAATCTAGACGCATGCCCTACTCAAGCTCCTGACCTTCAGATAGACCTAATTTACTTCATTCGAATTTAACCTGCTTCTGTCATCTTTCCCTTTTGACACAAAAGTCTTCCTGAACTGCAATTAAGCCTGGATGACGGGGTCCTCCAATGAGAGCCGCTGTGCTCCCAGCCTCCGCTAGAAGCAGCCAATAAGCATCTGGCAGCACAGGATCCATGGCCGTTGGCCCAAAGGGTGGTGGGGTGACCAGAGCTGAACCAATAACAGCCTTCCTGTGACACCCGGCACCGCCTGGAGATTGAGGGGGAAGGTGATGGTGGTGTCTGTCTGCCTGTGGGCTTCTGATGAAGCTCTTGCTTTGAACCAGGGTGGTTGAAGGGCAAGCATGCCCCTGTCACACTGGGACATGTCCCTATTGCTTTGCATCAAAATAAGAGGAGGCTGTTTGGCGATTAAGAGCTCTAAGAGGACTCCTTCCTCTACATCAGGTGATTAGATGGGTAGGGGGACTTAAGATAATGGTAATGCCCTTTAATACCCATTGTGTTTTTGCTTCTTGGTACATGGGCTAGGCTTGGGTTTGCTTTTTTCTTTTCCTTTTCCTTTTTCTTTTTTCTTTTTCTTTTCTTTTCTTTCCTTTTCTTTCCCTTTCTTCCTTCCTTCCTGCCTGCCTTCTTCTTTCTTTCTTTCTTTCTTTCTGTTTCCTTTTCCTATAGGTACATGCTGAATTTCAAGGTAGTTGGTGATTATCCAGGTGCTTTGCATTTAACTGAGTTCTAGCTTCCTATATATCTGTGAAGAGAGAACACACTGGCGGGGTGGGGGTGTTGGGAGGAGTTCAGTACTTTGAAATTTGTTACGAGTTGCACTAAAACCGATATTTCATCATGTTTGCTATGTATCCCATGTGGACATTTAAAATAAATTCTAAATAACCTTTGACTTGAACGTAGAAGCCTGTGAAAGGTGTCACTCTGAGCCAAATGGTGAGACAAACGCTAGCTAATGCACAGCAATCCAACCTTTTCTTGAGTCCATCAGAAGAGAGATAAATGCAAAGGGATATGAAAAGGGATGGAGGGCTTACTGCATAAATACTCAAGGAAAGCTACCATAAAATGAAGGGCCAGTAA